AGTCACCGCCTCTACGCGCGCCGCCCTCGGCTTTCCTATTCCTCGGCGCGCGAGGCATCGCGCGCCTTGCCTGCCTCGCACGCGCACGCCCCTGCCTCGCCTAGTCCCGCGTGGACTAGGCTTTGTCCGTCTGCCTCGCATGCGCACGCCATTCCTATTCCTTGAAGGACCATGCTTCGAGCCCATATCCACTATTCCTATTCCTACTAGGAATATGCTCCTGGTCACGTTTCCTGATTTTTCGAGGATTACTCCCGTCACCGATCTCCCACGCACGTTCCGGCACTCAACTGCTTTTCTTATTCCTGCGAGGATTAGTATTTGCGCCTCGCCTATTCCTACGAGGATTAGGCTTGCCAACCTGGTCTTGACTTGTGCCTCGCGCGTGTCGCCGTGTGCCTCGCGCTCGTCGTCCGGCACTCCTATGCCTACGCGGTCTAGACTATCGTTCGCGTCGGCCCACACGTCGCTCGTGCGCCTATGCGCACTCGCTGTCCATCCGCCGTAGTCCCTCGTGCGCATCCTCTCGCGCGCATCAAGTTCCGATGCACGCTGTTGGCTCGTACCTGCCCACCCGCATGTAATTGCGCATCCGTTCATTGGCCCATAGCAATTCCCCTCGCGCGCCATCCACCCAACAACCTCCCCCTGCGCGCCACTTCGCCTATTCTCCAAGCGCCATGCGCGTCTACGTCAATGCGCGTATTTTCGCCCTTTTCTAATGCGCCCTTTCTTGCGTGTTATTGCGCCTCGCATACGAGCTCGTACCCATCTCTTAGGCCATGCGTGCATCGTTTTGGCCCTTTTTCCAGTTTCCTTGGGTCGTCTTGGCTCTCGGCCCTTCTTGTCACAGGGGTACGAAACCCACTTCCATATCATTCCCCTCCTCTTCGAGACTTTTCTTGTCCTCAAGGATTCATCCTCGACCATCCAAACATCGGGCACTTCTTCTTCGATCACGTGCACATCCCACTCACGGTCCTCATCGACCTCGACCAAGACCTCGACTTTGAATATCACTTCATCCGTGTTTTCCTTCTTGTGCGTCGCGTAGCGACTCTCTTCGGCCTCAGCCTCGATGTGTTGCGCGTGTTGTTCTTGCGCGCACGCTTTGCTCCAATCACCCGATCTCACCATGGTGTACTCGGCGTCGGTCTCCTGTTTGTACGACTTCGTCTCTTGGTTCTCCTCGTCTGTGAACTCGTCGGCGAACAACGGTTCCTCGCACTCGACTTGGTCGACCTCACACTCAACCGCCTTGTCTTCAACATAGCCCGATAGATCGGACGTAAACAAGGACTCTCCTTTAATGACCTCCTCCATGATCTTGAGTTGTCGTTTGAGCTTCTCCTTTTGCTCGTACATCTCCTCCAAATATTCTTTCTCCCAAGGGGTTAATTCCCTATCCAAACCTTCGAGATACTCAAGATCCTCCCAATCCAATTCATCTAAAGGCAACATCATGACTCTTTTTTTTTATGACTCTAAGAATAAAAATTCGAACAAAATGCAAACCAAAATAAAAAATAAAACAAAGAGAAATTCGGCCCCTCAACAGAAGGTAATAACCGAAAAAAATCAAACAAAGGACTAGGTGACACTTTTTTTTAAGACACGAAAAAATTTGAAAATTTTGAATAAATAAATTCGAAAATTTCGACCCAAACAAAAAAGAAATTCGGTCCCTCAGCAAAAGGCAAACCGAAAAAAAAGAAAAAAGATAGATAGATAAAGAACACGATCAGCACCTCTCAATGAAACCATCTCAATGAAACCCTCTCAACGAGAGCACCAATGATGACGGATCGTGTCTTTACTCTATTTCCGGATTGTGAATAAACGCGCACTAGGGCCTTCATTTATCCACGATAGGTGTATCTAACATACGCACTATCGGCCTTCTCCTAGACACTGTGACTTCAAGACGCTCTAATGGCCTTCTCTCCGACACTGTATGTAAACACGCACTAATGGCCTTGTTTAAACACACGTAAGAACATCAAGTTCCCCCTTATGAGATTCACTCATCAATTCCAAGACTCAACATGTTTATTAATGAAGAGGTACATGGGTATTTATAGGTGCCAACTACCTCTAATGCTAATCTTAATAGGAAACTAATAACGGAAAATTCCAATTAAATCCCCAATGCCTTTTTCAAATTCTTTGTCAGTCCCCATTACATTTGTTTTTCTTCTGCACTCCCTAATACATTAATCTCTTTCCTCTCAACTCCCCATATAAATATTAATACTATTATTATTCATTTATTTTACTTCAAAATCATAAAAATTGAACAAACCCGTTCAGCTCCCTCTCTCTCTTCGTTTTTCATCGCCGATCGCCTCCCTCTCTTTCTCTCTAAAAATTCCATTGCGATTCCATCTCTGACACGAACACGATTCCATATCTGAACACGATTTCTCCTCCCTTCGCCGGCCATATCTCCGGGAAGCTTGCCCTTCGTCTCCGGCCAAAAAAATTCACATCCGACAATGGCGAGCTCGAAAAAAAATCCACAACAAACCGTCCTCCTCGTCCAAAACCGTAAGCAAGGTAAGATTTTTTTTTTAAAAAAAAAATATGTGATGCTAGTGGACTCGAAATTGTGGGATTTTTTTTCAAATTTTGATTCTTTTTCTTAAATTCAAAAATTTCAAAATTTGGAATTTGATTAATGCTAATACACTTTGAATTTGGAATTTTATTGATAAATTTGGGCTCTTTGCATGTCTAGGGTTCATAAATATTTTATTTGGTATGCTTTTGAATTAGAGCTCTTTATTAAATAGGGCTTTGTATGAATATGCCATGAATGATGTTTTGGTACATTTGTTTGGTGGTTTTGCGAAATGACAATGTTTTATATCAATTAGGGCAATTGCTTGGTGTTGAAATGACATGAGAATTTCATGTCCATCTGTCGAATTTGCAATTAGGGCTTTTTAATTTAGTGATGTTTTGATTTGCAATTAGGGCTTTTTAAGTTAGTGATGTTTTGATTTGCTGAGCTGGATTCGATCATGTGTCTTGTTGAAGGTGGTTTTATGGTATGAATTAATAAATACTTATTTTAGGGACCTGTTTTTGGTTTATCATGTTTTTTTTTTTTTATTTGGATAATGATATGATTTCTGTTGGCAGTGGTGCTTACATTGTGGTTACATGTTTGTCTTGGTAAAAATATTTAGTATTATTATCATATATTTGGGTGTGGGTGTTGTATGTGAAGTTCTATGTGGGTATGTGTCTAAAGTGTGCTTGCATTTCAGTTTTCATGTTTGTATTATGAAAAATGAACTTTTTTTGTAATTTATATGACAAGCAGTTTGACTTGTTTTATCATCTCTGTTTTTGCTGTTAGTTGAAAAGTTCTATTTGCACTGTAAGACTTCTAATGCTGCTGAATTTTTATATGGATTGTTAAATGTAGTTTTGGTGGTTTGGTGGGTACTTCATGCGGGGGAAAAGTATGAAAAATCTCTTATTTCCCACTACACGACGTTCGATTCTAATCTAGCCGGGCTTGCAAATATGTACCAGGAGGGTTCGATGTTGACCTTCGAGGGCGAGAAGATCATGGGAGCCCATAACATCGTCGCATCAAGGAAGCCTATATGTACTAAATGACATTTTCCGCCTAAATTATGCACGAGCAAGCTGGAACTCAATCGGCTATTGATTAAAATCTCGGGCCTATGACTTTGTTTTCAAATTATTGTGTCAGGTTTCTAAAAGGATTGTTTATATTCATCTGATTGGCTTGTTTGTGTATTCTTTTCGCATATTATTGTGAAGATTGAAGATAAATTCTCTCAGTTGAGATGGGGTCATTTTGATTGCATGAACTCTCAAGTCTTTACGGATGGTTAAATCAAAAGAATTTGTAAAGTACAAAAAGAAAAAGAAAAAAAAAAGTCTCTTATTCTCATTTGTGATGGTTTTATTGAGTGTTGATTGTTGTAATGCAAGCTTTAAAAAAAAAAAAAAAAAAAAGATAAAACAAATCTCTAAAATGGTATAGTTTTTTAACAAATAATACCACTCCTTCTTCTATATAGTACCAGTTATTAGATGAATTAATACTTATTTTGTAGAAAGAACAAAAAGTGGATTATTTTCAATTTGGTCAACATTTGCAATATTAGTATCAGACCTAGATTAAGATAATACCACAATTATGGTGTTCTAGTACCAGATATCGGGTCTTCAGTACCAACTCCGACAAACGTAAAAAAAAAAATGATTTTACCCAAATAATACCACTTTTTCTTCTTCGCAGTACCAGTTATTGATGAATTAGTACCAACTTTTGGTCAACGAAAATGGATTATTCAATTGTGGTCAATATTTGCAATAATTTGTACCAGACATAGAGTAAGATAATACCAGCTTTCGGTGTTTTAGTACCAGATATTGAGACTTTAGTACCACTTGTAATAAACACATAAAAACACTAAATTTTGGTCTCAAATGATGTTTATATGACCGATAACCACTCACATTATTTTATATGAGATTTATGACGTGTTTAATTAACTTTACTCGCAAATTGGTCACAAACTCAACACACTAATGAGAAATCACTACAAATATACTTCATTCCATTGAATGACACACTTCATCTTATAGAATTATCATACATGACTACTCCGAATTCTACCTATATGTTTTAACTTTCATTATTTTTCATTCAAATCACGCGAGAACAATCCACGTATCATGGTAGACATGGAGGATTAGAGAAATCATGATTCTTAAAATAGTACCAGTTTTGGGAAAAATAGTACCGCGTCTTCTTCTACGTGGTACTTGTTTTTTTTATCGATTAATACCAACTTTTGGTCAATGAAAATGGATTATTCAATTGTGGTCAACATTTGCAATAATTGGTACCAGGTCTATAGTAAGATAATACCATCTTTCGGTGTTTTAGTACCACTTGTAATGAACACATTAAAACACCGAATTTTGCCCAAATGACGTTTATATGACCAATAATCACTCTCATATTATTTTCTATGAGATTTAAAATATTTTTAATTGAGTTTAATCGTAAAATGGTCATGAACTCGACACACGAAGAATCATCATACATGACTACTCTAAATTCTACCTATATGTTTTCACTTCCACTATTTTTTATCCAAATCACGCGTGACTGATCTACGTGTCATGGTAGACATGAAGGATTAGAGAAATCATGATTCTTAAAATAGTACTAGTTTTGGAAAAAATAGTACCGCTTCTTCTTCTACGTAGTACCTGATTTTGATCAATTAGTACCAACTTTTGGTCAACGAAAATGAATTATTCAATTGTGGTCAGCATTTTCAATAATTGGTACCAAACCTAGAGTAAGATAATACCAGCTTTCGTTATTTTAGTACCAGATATCGGGTCTCTAGTACCACTTGTAATGAACACATAAAAACACTGAATTTCGGTCTCAAATGATGTTTATATGACCAATAATCACTCTCACATTATTTTCTATGAGATTTAAAATGTTTTTAATTGACTTTAATCGCAAATTGCTCATAATCTCGACACACTAATGAGAAACCACTACTAGTACACTTTATTTCATTGAATGACACACTTCATCTCATAGAATCATCATACATGACTACTTCAAATGCTACTTATATGTTTTAGCTTCCACTATTTTTCATCCAAATCACGCGTCAACGATCCTCGTGACATGGTGAACATGAAGGATTATAGAAATCACGATTCTTAAAATAGTACTAGTTTTACCATAAACAATATCTCTTCTTCTTCTATGCAGTACCAGTTATTGATCAATTAGTACCTACTTTTGGTCAACGAAAATGGATTACTTCAATTTTGGTCAACATTTGCAAAAATTGGTACCAGACCTAGAGTATGATAGTACCATTTTATGGTGTTTTAGTACCAGATATCGGGTCTTTAGCACCACTTGTAATGAACACATAAAAAGACCGAATTTCAGTCTCAAATGATGTTTATATAACCCATAATCACTCTCACATTAGTTTATATGAGACTTGAAATGTTTTTAATTGGGTTTTATCATAAAATGATCATGAATTCGACACACTAATGAGAAAACACTACTAATACACTTTATTTCATTGAATTACGCACTCCATTTCATAGAATCATCATACACGACTACTCCAAATGCTACCTTTATGTTTTAACTTCCACAATTTTTCATCTAAATCACGCGCTGACGATCCACGTGACATGGTAGACATAAAGGATTAGAGAAATCATAATTCTTAAAATAGTACCTGTTTTAGCCAAAATAGTACCACATCTTCTACATGGTACCTTTTTTGATCGATTAGTACCTACTTTTGTGAACGAAAATGAATTATTTCAATTCTGCTCAACATTTACCAAAAGTAGTACCAGTCATAAAGTAAGTCAGCACCACATTATGGAGAGTTAGTACCAGATATCTTGTCCCTAGTACCACTTGTAATGAACACATAAGAAGACCGAATTTCGGTCGCAAATGATGCTTATACGACCCATGATCACTCTGACATTAGTTTATATAAGATTTTAAATGTTTTTGATTGAGTTTAATCATAAATTGGTCGTAAACTCGATACACTAATGAGAAAAACTACTACTAGACTTCATTTCATTGAATGACACACTTCATCTCATAGAAATCATACATGACTACTTCAAATTCTATCTAATGTTTTCAATTCTACTTTTTTTCATCCAAATCACGTGTGAACAATCCACATGTCATGGTAGACATGAAGGATTAAAAAAATCACGTTTTTTATAATAGTACCGGTTTTGGGAAATATGGTACCGCATCGTATTCTGCGTGGTACCTGATTTCGATCGAATAGTACCTACTTTTTTTTTTGAAGAAAAATTGATTATTTCAATTCTGCTCAACAATTACCAAAAGTAGTACCAGTCATAGTGTAAGTCAGTACCAAATTATGGAGAGTTAGTACAAAATATCCTGTCCCTAGTACCACTTGTAATGAACACATAAGAAGACCGAATTTTGGTCGCAAATAATGGTTATACGACCCATGATCACTCTGACATTAGTTTATATAAGATTTAAATGTTTTTGATTGAGTTTAATCACAAATTGGTCGTAAACTCGATACACTAATGAGAAAACACTACTACTAGACTTCATTTCATTGAATGACACACTTCATCTCATAGAAATCATCATACATGACTACTTCAAATTCTATCTATATGTTTTCAATTCCACTTTTTTTTTTTTTTTTTTTTTATCCAAATCACGTGTGAACAATCCACATGTCATGGTAGACATGAAGGATTAAAGAAATCGCGTTTTTGATAATAGTACCGGTTTTAGGAAATATGGTACCGCATCTTATTCTGTGTGGTACCTGTTTCGATCGAATAGTACCTACTTTTTTTGAAGAAAAGTTGATTATTGCAATTTTGCTCAACATTTACAAAAAGTAGTACCAGTCATAGAGTAAGTCAGTACCACATTATGGAGAGTTAGTACCAGATATCTTGCCCTAGTACCACTTGTAATGAACACATAAGAAGACCGAATTTCGGTCGCAAATGATGCTTATACGACCCATGATCACTCTGACATTAGTTTATATAAGATTTGATATTTGGTTAATTAAGTTCAATCGCAAATTGGTCAACTCAACACACTAATGGAAAAACACCTTAATATACTTCAACTCATTGAATGGCACCAATTTAAACGAAAATATTACCTCCTTTTTTTCTACGTAATACCTGTTATTGATCGATTATTACCAACTTTTGTGACGAAAAATTGATTATTTCAATTCTGCTTAACATTTACAAAAAGTAGTACCAGTCATAGTGTAATGCAGTACCACTTTATGGCGCAATAGTACTAGATATCATGTCCCTAGTACCACTTGTAATTAACAAAAAAGAAGACCGAATTTCGGTCGCAAATGATGTTTATACGACCCATAATCACTATGACATTAGTTTTTTTGATATTTGATATTTGATTAATTAAGTTTAATGGCAAATTGGTCACGAACTCAACACATTAATGGAAAAACACTACTTAATATACTTCAACTCATTGACTGGTACCAGTTTTTACGGATATAATACCGCCTTTCTTCTACGAAGTACCTGTTATTGATCAATTAGTACCAGCTTTTTGGAATAAAAATGTAATACACCGATTAAAACTTCACAAAACTATTACCTATATTGCAGTATGAAATGTCAGTATATTGTACAAAAAATATTACTCATAAAGTGTCATTTACTACCCACTCTTTGGAATGAAGATGAGTACACAAGTATGGACGAGATTGCATTTTCGGATGGCAAACTGGTTATCCCATTTGTATAACGATGCATATACTCTCCATTCACAATCCGCGTCGCTACAACAAACGATGACCTTTTGCTTGTCATTTTTCCGATACTTAAAAGACTGCTTGTTTGCAATCGCGTAGTTTTTGAAACTCTTTCGAAATCGTCGGCCCCACTGAATATCTGCCCTTCTCATTTGATGCAAGATCTCCAAGAATAGATCGATTTATCTTGCAACAATTCTTCTTCTCCCTCCGAGAAATCATCAGACTGTACGTTTTTCCGATCACAACCCTCAT